TGACCCAGGGTAGGCATTTTTTTCCTGTTTTTTGCCCCCTGGGGCCTCACATTTCCTAAATATTTTCCCTGTTTCTAGCAATGTGGAATATTTAGTATATATTTAGGATAGAACACACTATTGTAAGTTTTATTGAGGTCATTTTGTAATTCTAGCTTGTACTTTTTAATGCTGCGGTCACAAAAAAACATATTTAGGTGTTACGGCTTACTTTTGGGTTATCGACAGGACAAAAATAACCCAACAAAATTATTTAGGAAGGATCAATGAGTTGCAATGACTGCGAAGAGTAAATATAAGCACTTCTAAACAATTTAAATCACAAATAGGCATATATTATGAATTTATTTTGAATTCAGGGCCTTAAGTAAACCATGCATACTGTAAACTGTGAATTTATGCTGAGTCATCATAGTTAAGGCTCAGGATTTTCTCAATCTTCATGAAATATTTATAAAACTTCATATTTGAGTTAAATTCTTTAAAATCTCTGCGATAAACCAGATTTTGTGAAATTCTGCATGTTCTATTTTTTAACCCTATATAGGTTGCAATTCTGTAAATATAGACAATGCAATTTCCCATAGGAACTCCCTTTGCGGCTAAAACTGTGACACTTTTACTATGAAGTTTCGTGAAAAAAAATATCCCAGAACGGAAAGTTTATATGCACTACTATTTTATTCAAAGGTCAAAATATAGGGCTGTGCGGCATATTTTCAACATTTATATGACCCGAACTTCTATGAGTTTAAACTTATACTAAAATGCTATACAACCCTTACCTTCATATTTGGATCTCCTAAGAATTAAAATTTAGGCGCTACCATGTTTTTCTGTACTGGTTACATTCCCAAGTGATGTCTCTATGAGATGAAACACAGAGATCATAAATGGGAACCAGTACATTAACAAATTAACATATCTATGAATATTATATATCTCCCCAAAGAGGCGTGGTTTGAGAAACAGCTGTATTTACAAAGTGCAACCTATACAAACATTTATTCAAATAGAAAACCTTCTAAAAACACTTTTTCTCACAACAATACTTATTTATCAGAATTGTAGCCTTAAGGAAATCACTGCATATACTCTAAGTTTCCATTTACAGTACATTTCATACCTCTACCCCTGTTTCAGTTTTTTAAAGAATTTGAAAACAAGACTTTAATTATTGCCAGCTTACCCTATGTGCATGTTTTCTGACATGAAATGTATAAAACATGTTTGAAACTATTCTAATAACAAATTGAAAGCATTTTAGAATACTATAAATGTATTGTTTAGTAGTTAATCATTTCAACATGATTCCAGATTATACAAAGTATCCAATCCTGCCTGTGTCTCCAGTCCACATCCTACTGTATGCCTATTTGTCAATGAAAGTTCACAATTTCTGTCTCAAATGGTCAGTTAAGAATTCTTGTCACAACAGTTTCATCTCTAACCATATAACTAACATAATTTAGTTAATGTATGAACTAGAAGTGTCTATACAAAGCCATATTTGCAAAATTGTATTTGAGAAGATATCAGTTTGGTGCATAAATTCAATAAAAGCTTGATAGAAAAGACTGCTTTCATCTTATTTTTGCATAACTTTCCAGCACAGTTATTGTTTTGTTTACAAAAGACCTTGAAAATAATAAAATCATAGCATTTACAAGTGATATTATCTGTTTTATGACCCAGGGTAGGCATTTTTTTCCTGTTTTTTGCCCCCTGGGGCCTCACATTTCCTAAATATTTTCCCTGTTTCTAGCAATGTGGAATATTTAGTATATATTTAGGATAGAACACACTATTGTAAGTTTTATTGAGGTCATTTTGTAATTCTAGCTTGTACTTTTTAATGCTGCGGTCACAAAAAAACATATTTAGGTGTTACGGCTTACTTTTGGGTTATCGACAGGACAAAAATAACCCAACAAAATTATTTAGGAAGGATCAATGAGTTGCAATGACTGCGAAGAGTAAATATAAGCACTTCTAAACAATTTAAATCACAAATAGGCATATATTATGAATTTATTTTGAATTCAGGGCCTTAAGTAAACCATGCATACTGTAAACTGTGAATTTATGCTGAGTCATCATAGTTAAGGCTCAGGATTTTCTCAATCTTCATGAAATATTTATAAAACTTCATATTTGAGTTAAATTCTTTAAAATCTCTGCGATAAACCAGATTTTGTGAAATTCTGCATGTTCTATTTTTTAACCCTATATAGGTTGCAATTCTGTAAATATAGACAATGCAATTTCCCATAGGAACTCCCATTGCGGCTAAAACTGTGACACTTTTACTATGAAGTTTCGTGAAAAAAAATATCCCAGAACGGAAAGTTTATATGCACTACTATTTTATTCAAAGGTCAAAATATAGGGCTGTGCGGCATATTTTCAACATTTATATGACCCGAACTTCTATGAGTTTAAACTTATACTAAAATGCTATACAACCCTTACCTTCATATTTGGATCTCCTAAGAATTAAAATTTAGGCGCTACCATGTTTTTCTGTACTGGTTACATTCCCAAGTGATGTCTCTATGACATGAAACACAGGGATCATAAATGGGAACCAGTACATTAACAAATTAACATATCTATGAATATTATATATCTCCCCAAAAGAGGCGTGGTTTGAGAAACAGCTGTATTTACAAAGTGCAACCTATACAAACATTTATTCAAATAGAAAACCTTCTAAAAACACTTTTTCTCACAACAATACTTATTTATCAGAATTGTAGCCTTAAGGAAATCACTGCATATACTCTAAGTTTCCATTTACAGTACATTTCATACCTCTACCCCTGTTTCAGTTTTTTAAAGAATTTGAAAACAAGACTTTAATTATTGCCAGCTTACCCTATGTGCATGTTTTCTGACATGAAATGTATAAAACATGTTTGAAACTATTCTAATAACAAATTGAAAGCATTTTAGAATACTATAAATGTATTGTTTAGTAGTTAATCATTTCAACATGATTCCAGATTATACAAAGTATCCAATCCTGCCTGTGTCTCCAGTCCACATCCTACTGTATGCCTATTTGTCAATGAAAGTTCACAATTTCTGTCTCAAATGGTCAGTTAAGAATTCTTGTCACAACAGTTTCATCTCTAACCATATAACTAACATAATTTAGTTAATGTATGAACTAGAAGTGTCTAAACAAAGCCATATTTGCAAAATTGTATTTAAGAAGATATCAGTTTGGTGCATAAATTCAATAAAAGCTTGATAGAAAAGAATGCTTACATCTTATTTTTGCATAACTTTCCAGCACAGTTATTGTTTTGTTTACAAAAGACCTTGAAAATAATAAAATCATAGCATTTACAAGTTAAATTATCTGTTTTATGACCCAGGGTAGGCATTTTTTTTCTGTTTTTTGCCGCCTGGGGCCTCACATGTCATTAAATATAAGCACTTCTAAACAATTTAAATCACAAATAGGCATATATTATGAATTTATTTTGAAATCAGGGCCTTAAGTAAACCATGCATACTGTAAACTGTGAATTTATGCTGAGTCATCATAGTTAAGGCTCAGGATTTTCTCAATCTTCATGAAATATTTATAAAACTTCATATTTGAGTTAAATTCTTTAAAATCTCTGCGATAAACCAGATTTTGTGAAATTCTGTATGTTGTATTTTTTAACCCTATATAAGTGAATCAATATTAAAGCCAAAATATGCAATCTCTAATGACCTGACAACAGTATCGTAACTATATCCCTTCTTAATAAGTCTGTTTAAAGGTTTTGTTAGCTTTTGAGGTGAATACTGACATTTTTTGTGCTTTGTAAAGAATATTACCATAAAAGATTGGATGTGAAATACCCGAACGTATAAGATGACTGTATGCTGAGTTATATTTACGAATGATGTCCTTATACAACATACTTGTCAAACTTGCAAAATTTTGCCAAATTGTTTTGTCTGTTATAGAGTAGGTTTGTCTCCCACTGTAGATTTCATAGAACATGCACTTTATACCATTGTATATGTAACCATGTCATTTCAATCATTTCATTGTTTTGTAATTATGTTATTGTTATTATTACTGTTAATAGTCACACACTCCTAATGGAGTCTTGAGAAATAAAAGTTTCAAGTTTAAAGTTTTGAATCCAAGGGGTTTTGGGAAGGTTTCAAGTGACAATATTGTTACTCGGGTTACTGGTATTGTGCACGATAGACAATCATGTTCAGAGTGGTATATTACACGTGTGACGTTATGCAATACCATGTGTAAATTCAAAAAATACTATAGATTCAAAGGGGTTTGTTTGGAAATCATTCAATTCACGTTATTTTGAACATTAATCAATGCGTGTTAATCCATGCATGGACAAATTTACTTGTCTGCTGTCTTTATGTTACGCATAAGTGCAAAAGAAATTATCAATTTTCGTAAAGGAAATTATGAAATACCAAATAGATATAAGAAGATGTGGTATGAGTGCCGATGAGACAACTCTCTATCCAAGTCAAAATTTATAAAAGTAAACCATTATATGTCACAGTACGGTCTTCAACACGGAGCCTTGGCTCACACCGAACAGTAAGCTATAAAGGGCCCCAAAGATTACTAGTGTAAAACCATTCAAACGAGAAAACCAACGGTCTAATCTAATCAAATGTCTTTTAAACCATATTATATATTTGTGTTTTGTCTGTCCTGTCTCGTTAAGTATTATTGTTTGTAATTATATTGAATCTTGAATCTGTATTTTATTAAAAAAAATTGCTTATTATTGAAGTAGATAAAAAAATGTTTGTCCTGAGAAAAAAAACCTTGACCCCCCCTTTTTTTACAAAAGAAGAAGAAAAGATGAATAGTCAGTGCTTTACATGGACAATATTTTGTGCATATCACACAATATGTGTACGTTAGGACTGTTTTAATCATTTTTATCGTTCACAAACTTATGCATGCGTATTAAGTTATTGTATAAGCAGATTTTATGTCATTTCAGGTATGCAAGCAGGGTTCAGTCAGCCGTATGGTGTCAATGACAACAGTGGATTTGTCCCACCACCGGCATATAATCAAGCAGCTATGCCTGGCCAGCATCCCAGTTAACTATTTAATTATTAAATATTATATAAGCATAGTATAATGACATTTTAAAATTGCTTTGAGTATTTTGAAATTAATGCTAATCATACAGATTTATCTATATGTCAAATATCAAAATAGACTATACTTTTATAACTTTTGACTTGGATGGAGAGTTGTCTCATTGGCACTCATACCACATCTTCTTATATCTATATAATGACATAGTGTTGCTGTATATCATATTTGTTTTTCGTTTATTGTTTTTTTTTATCTTTGTTTATATAAATCAGACCGTTAGTTTTCTTGTTTGATTTGTTTTACATTTTCCCTATCGTGGCCTTTTATAGCTTGCAAGGCGGTTTGGGTTTTTTTCATTGTTGAAGGTCGTACGGTGATCTATAGTTTCTAACGGCTACGTCATTTGTCACCTTTGGAAAGTTGTCTCATTGGCAGTCATACCACATCTTCTTATTTTTACTTTTTACATACTGGTAGTAGTTGTGGTTAACCGACGGTTTGTGTCTAGGTAAAAAATTTGTTCAAAATGTTTTTTTAAATAAATGGTATTATAGCTTCTTTGCATTCAAATTCCAAAAAGATTTGCCTTACTTTTAAATTCTTGACTCTGCGAGTGAAACATATACAGGGTAAATTGGCCCTGCCTCGTTTGTGTATACTTTTTATCGATTTTTTTAAATATATTATGGTGACACAGAAAAATAACTAGTTTAATAATACGCAAAGGTAGCTAGCCGTGCTCTGGGTAGTTTAATGACGAAAGTGATATTAGCAGGAGGAATGACTCATAGGATGTACACCAAACGTTATACAGCTACGGTCGAACCGATATTACTATACGGTAGTGCCATGTGGGGCACTGAATCGTTTAGTGCCATTTCAGCTGTACAAAACAGTTTCTTTCCGTTGGAAAACTGACCTCGAATGTAGCTACTCGTGGTGATATGGGATGGACATCTTGTCATACAAAACAACGAATACATTACTGTAGGCTATTGTGTAGACTTCTTCGTACCGAACAAAATAGAATATTTTATAAAATATTAAAATGGACATCTAGGAGGAAAAAAGGTTGGTCTTTTGAAGTTGACAAAATTGTGAATAGTTTAAACTTTAGAGATATTGTATACGACTTGTCGTTTTCCACAAAAACTGTTATGGGAACTGTTATTGAAAAGTTGGTAGAACTCGACAATACAGTATGGCACAGAGAACTTTTTAATGATCGGCGCAATATACATAATGGAAATAAGTTACGCACAAATAGAATGTTTGAAGATAATGTAAAAACTGAACCGTATGTTCGCCAGCCCTGAAATACGTACTATGGCTCTGTTTCGGTCCGGTACACTACCCTTGGCCTATGAGACTGGCAGGTACTCCAGGCCGCCAATCCCGGTAGAAGAAAGATTCTGTGTTTTTTGCAACCTTGGTTGTGTAAAAAATGAAAATTATTTCCTTCTTGAATGCGAACTGTATGGTGACACCTTATAATTTATTTTCCGAATGCTCTAAATATATCGATCACTTTAACAACCTTAATATGGACGATAAATTTATAAAAATCATGAACTGTTCAAATATCCAACACTATTTTGGTAAAATATTACATAAGTTTTTTATTCGCAGAGAGTTATTTTATAGTATATATTTTATTCAGAATTTATAACTGTTCTTAAACGCAAATATTTTTTATCCGTAGAAATTTTTAATTACAGACAGTAATTTTAAAACTTGTTATACGTCTAGTTCAACCATAGTCAAGACATTTTTATATATTTAGATTTTTTATAACTTTCTCTTTTTTTTTCTTTTTTTTTTTTAACAATTTTACAGATATAAGAAACACTTTTAATTAGAAATGTTTAGTTGTTTTAACTTTGATCATTATTGTATAAAGTTTTATATTGTTAGTGTCTCATAAGTTAAATTTTTATGGCTGGATATTGATTGTTTTATGTGTAAATATTACAAATTTTGTAGATGTTTTATGACAATCAATATGTGACATTTTGATAAATAAAATTTATTATTGCAAGTTATTATTCCATCTATTTGCATAAACTGTTCGTGGTTCTACATACTATGCCATTAAGGGATGTTAAAAATAGTGTTCATTCTACTAGTAGTATTAATATCTTAAAATAAAAAGAATGTTATATAACAGCCATTATTGGGTCCACGTAATTGCGAAACAGCAAAAATGCCATCTACGATATAATTCAAAATCATGTGAGTTTTAAAGATAAGTAGATAGGTTGATAAGACATATTAGAAAAATATCATTTTGGATAAAGTCGCATCTAAAAAGTAAAATAACAAAAATATCGAACGCCAAGGAAAATTCAAAACGGAAAGTCCCTAAACAAAATTAATGTCAAAATCAAAAGCTCAAACACATCAAACACATCAAACGAATGGAAAACAACTGTCATATTCCTGACTTGGTACAGACATTGCCTTATGTAGAAAATGGTGGATTAAATGGCAAATGATTTGTAAACTTCTGAAGAATATTATTCAATTGGCATTGGACACGTATTGATGTTGAACTTTAAAGGCCAAACAGGATCTGTCAGATCATACCTTTTCCGTTATCAAAAACCGTTGATACAAACCGATTTACAGATCATAACCCTATTTCTTGTACATGTGTTTCAGTGGTTGTTGTTTGTTGATGTATACCACATTTATTTTTCATTTATTGTCTTGTACATAAATCAGGCCGTTAGTTTTCTTGTTTTGATTGTTTTACGTTTGTCATTTCGGGACCTTTTATCGATTGATATGCAGTATGGGTTTTGCTCATTGTCGGAGGACGTACAGTGACCTATAGTTGCTAACTTCTACGTTATTTGACCTCTGGTGGAGAGTTGTCTCATTGGCAATCATACCTCATCTTTTTATTTCTATATAGCCATCTAGACACATTCTGTCATTTATTATATACTATGGTCATTTTAGTGTATGTCTTTTGTAAGATATAGTTTGTATTTTGTTTTTTGTTTTTACAACTATTTTTGTTTGCCTCACACAAATACATATTGTTTTCTATGTACGATAAATTACATGTATTATAAAAATGAACGCGTCCGTCTGATACTTTGGGCGCAGGACATTATAGGGAAAATGCGACAGTAATAATATATGCATGTGCGATAACTTGTATCCCGCAGAATTATTCATTTAGTCTCGTCAAAATTATTTTCGAAATTGACTATTGAAAGCCCTTCTTTTGGATTTTTTCCCAATACCATCTGTTTAATTTAAGTGAAGGATACCAAAATTCAACGTAAAATGAAGTGAGAGTGAGTAAGCCTTTTCTCAAAACGTATATCTATGTGGACATTCTTCGTGAAATTCTCTTTCGATTGATGTTTTTAATTATATACGGATAGGGTTTTGTCTTGTCAAAATGTAATGTCAAAATTGACAGTTCTCATTCAATTTGAAAAGAAACTCTTTGTTTGGTTTTTCCAACGATTTGTATAGTAGATTCCTATAATACAAATCTATTTTTTCTCTCGTTACAATCTATGTAATTTCAATTTAGGGTATCATATATTTTACGAGAGCGAGTATTTGTGTATCTGAAAATGTGTAGCTTCCAGAAAGAAAAAGAAAGACGACTTTATCTTAAAGAAGATGTAATAACTTTTCAACACTTATGGTTTTGATCCTCGATTTTATTCGAAATCTTTGTTTCGTGATGGTTTAGTCGAGTTTTTTTTTTTTAAATCTTTATAATTTAATTCATGAACTTGTTTTTGTTTCTTTATTTAATTGTCACTATCATGTCACTTGAACATAATTTTCAATTTTGATTTTAAATAACTAAGTGTATCAATTTCCTGAATGCTTCTGACAAAACATCAAATGAAAATCTCTCCGATCAGATACACTATAATATAAGCAAAATGAGGATTTTAAATTTGATGTATGCCTTTTTGTGCTTCTTCGTTACATTTGTTTGTATTTATAGTGATTAAAATGATAACACAATGTTGACTGCTGTATCCCTATTTTTGACATTTTTACCTATTGTGTCTGTTTGTTTTGTTCACGCATCGTTGTCAATATAATGGAATTAGATGCGACTGTCATACAAGTGAGAGGTTTAGCCAGCTATAAAACCAGGTTCAATCCACCATTTTCTACATAAGAAAATGCCTGTACCAAGTCAGGAATATGACAGTTGTTATCCATTCGTTTGATGTGTTTGGTTTTTTTTTATTTTGCCATTTGATTGGGGACTTTCCTTTTTGAATTTTCCTCGGAGTTCAGTATTTTTGTGATTTTACTTTTTTTTCGATCAGATACACCTGAAAGTTATGAATTATACCTTGTTATATGTTCAATATTTTTTTAACGTTGTATTTTATAGTGTTAAATATTTGTTTAATATTTGATTAATTGTGCATTTATTATAAGTGAAGATAAAATATGTGTACCAACTTCAAAAATTTAAATGAGTAATTAAAAAATGCTTAAAACCTTTTTCACAATTTTAAACCTGTTTTACTTAAATAGCGGGGCATCTGAAGACAATTTGTCGTGTGTAGTTACCTCCCCTAATTTCGACTAGTTGGACACACGGTTTCGATATTTTCATGACTCAGCAGTTTCGATATTAAGATGACTTAGTAGTCTCGATAATAAGATGACATAACACTTTCGATTTTTAGATGACTTAGAAGTTTCGATATTAAGATGATCCAGAAGGTTCGATATTTTGATGACTAAGCAGCTCCGATATTAAGCTGACCTAGCAGTTTCGATATTAAGACGACCTATCAGTCTCGGTAATTAAACGACCTAGTAGTTTCGATATTTTTCGATGACAGAAGTTTCGACTTTCGATATTTGAAAGACTTAACAGTTTCGGTGTTGAGATGACGTAGCAGTTTCGATATTTAGATGCCCTAGCAGGTTCGATTTTCAGATGACTTAGCAGTTTCCGATATTTGGATGACTAAGCAATTTTGATATTCAGATGACTTAGCAGTTCCGTTATTAAGATGACCTGCAGTTTCGAAATTAAGATGACTTAGCAGTTTCGACCATAAGTTGATCTAGCAGTTTCGATATTTCGGTGACAAAGCAGTTTTGATATTCAGATGAACTAACAGTTTGATATTAAGATGGCTTAGCAGTTTCGGTATTTAGAAGACATAAAAATTTCGATATTCAGATGACTTAGCAAATTCAATATTAAGTTGACTTATCAGTTCCGATATTAAGATGACCTAACAGTTTCGATATTAAGATGATCCAGCAATTTCGATATTTTGATGACTAAGCAGTTTCGATATTAAGATGACCTAGCAGTTTCGATAATAAGATGACCTACCATTCTCGATATTTCGATGACTAAGCAGTTTTGATATTCAGTGGAAAAAACAGTTTGATATTAAGATGGCTTAGCAGTTTCGATATTAAGATGACCTAACAATTTCGATATTCAGATGACTTAGCAGTTTCGATATAAAGATGACTAAGCAGTTCCGATATTAAGATGACCTAACAGTTTCTATCTTAAGATGATCAAGCAGTTTCGATATTTTTATGACTAAGAAGTTTCGATATTAAGATAACCTAGCAGTTTCGATATTATTAATAAGATGACTTAGCAGTTTCGATAAGAAGATGACCTAGCAGTTTCCAAATTTCGATGACAGTTTTGACTTTCGATATTTGAATGTGTTAGCAGTTTCGATATTAAGATGACGTAGCAGTTTCGATATTTCGATGCTCTAGCCGTCTCAATATTTAAATGACTTAGTAGATTCGATATTTCGATGAAAAAGCAGTTTTGATATTTAGATGAACTAACAGTTTGTTACTAAGATGGCTAAGCAGACTCGGTATTAAGATGACATAAAAATTTCGATATTCAGATGACTTAGCAGTTCGATGTTAAGTTGACTTATCAGTTCCGATATTTAGATGACCTAACAGTTTCGATATTAAGATGATCCAGCAATTTCGATATTTTGATGACTAAGCAGTTTCGATATTAAGATGACCTAGCAGTTTCGATAATAAGATGACCTAGCAGTCTCGATATTTCGATGACTAAGCAGTTTGATATTCAGTGGAAATAACAGTTTGATATTAAGATGGCATAGCAGTTTGGATATTAAGATGACCTAACAATTTCGATATTCAGATGACTTAGCGGTTTCGATATAAAGATGACTTAGCAGATCCGATATTAAAATGACCTAACAGTTTCTATCTTAAGATGATCAAGCAGTTTCGATATTTTTATGACTAAACAGTTTCGATATTAAGATGACCTAGCAGTTTCGATATTATTAATAAGATGACTTAGCAGTTTCGATAAGTAGATGACCTAGCAGTTTCCATATTTAGATGGCAGAAGTTTTGACTTTCGATATTTGAATGTGTTAGCAGTTTCGATATTTCGATGCCCTAGCCGTCTCAATATTTAAATGACTTAGCAGATTTGATATTTCGATGAAAAAGCAGTTTTGATATTCAGATGAACTAACAGGTTGATATTAAGATGGCTTAGAAGTTTTGATATTAAGATGATCTAACTATTTCGATATATTTTAAGATTGCCTTCCTTTTCCCGGATAAACACTAAAAAAACATTTCCTTTCGCTACAAAGGAAAAAATTGACAAACGACATGATATATAATATATATTTGCTGTTTTTTTTTACTAATACCATGCATGGTCCATTAAACCAAATAGTATGCAGTGCCAGATACACTGTTTATTTGTTTTTGTAGCTTATACAATTGCATCACAAATCATTCCTTGCAAATATGTCGAACAATTATACACCCAAATGCACAGAATATTACCATTAACTGGCTAAACATTGATCATTCTTTCAAATGATAGAACTAAACAAAAGAAGTGTTTGGTGCAATTGGTTTTTTTTTTTACGTCATCCTTCATTTTTGCCATGGCGTTATCTTGTCTTTATTGGCTTTTGACTGTTCTCTTGGTATCGGCCACCTCTTTTTTGTACGAAAGCCGATCAACATGAAATTTTAAAATTTTGTAAGTGTTTCAAAATCCTTATTCCAACTTTCATTCACTGATCATATAAATCATCCAGATATAATGAAACGAAGAGTTCTAACAGAATATTATACATACAGTATATCTATAAAAAAAAAGGGGGGGGGTAGAAGAAACCAACGGACAGACGTAAAGTTCTCCAAATTATTCGTGTGATTTTAGTGTTATTTTGACAGCAAAAACATGCAACTATATGTAAATAGTACATAGTGGATATATTTTCGTGAAGTGTAAACACTGGTTAGAATGCTACGTTCTAGAATAAGGCAAAACGTTTTCTTTGGAATTCTTTATTTCTTATCAAATAACAAATAACTTCAACGATCAAGTTTGAAAACTGTAAATGCTTGGTTATATAATGCAAGACGTTAAATGCATCTTGTAATACATTAGGAACACATACATAATATTTTAATGAAATTGGCTGCTTCAATGAATAAATTATGCAAATTATGATAAGTCTCTTTTTTCATCAAAACAAACAACACATAAAAAAGGCACATATTGACACAACTTGGAACAACGTGCTGGCTATTTTAAAATCATGTATGTACTCACCGCTTGTGTAATTCTAAAAGACAGACAAATAAGCATAAAATTATCTATAATTATCTGTCTGTTATTTAAGGAATGACTGTAATATTGTTTATATCTATGAAGAAATAACCTTAAAAAATTGGTGCATACTGAATAACCCGCATATATTCTCTGTCTATTCGAAATAACCTAAAAAATGTGGTGCACACTTTTGAACTACCCGCGTAGCCCCACATTTTTTAGGTTATTTCGAATAGACAGAAAAATATTACAGTCATTCCTTATAATTTGATTCTAAATTTCATTTTCAAGGAGTAAATCATGAAAAAACGTTGATGACGTCACGGTCATACGACAAAATTATGTTTATGAGCTGATAGACAAAAAACTTTCAGCCAATCAGAAGACGAGTTACATCCAAAATTAAATTATTGAATAATACACAAAAGGATATGAAAAAGTATGTTGACATATAAATATCTATATACCAAGAAAACCCACCAATAACCAATAAGCATGGTAACAAAAAAATCATTAGGAAAAAACCCACACACCGTCCCAAAAAAATAAAAAAATCATACTTTTCCGAAAATCAATTGTCAACTGTTCGGAGGAAAGAAATATGATAATCGTACATTTGTATCTTCCTTGATTAAATCGTTTCTCATCTTAATTGAATAGTTACCATTTACCAAAATAAAATAATGAGACTTTAAGGTAACTTCATATACTTTATCGTCTGTCACTTAAAATGTGTCGGATACTATATACTCCTACTTTAAAGCATTTTAAATATTTTCGAAATATTATATCCAAAAGGTGTCGTTTACATTCCAATCCAACCCGGGTAGAAAAAATCTGAAAAATCTTTGCTGTATTGTTTTCTTAATCCAGATCCTTCTTTTGCTGGCCATTTGAAATACGTGACTTCTCCTCCTGTTAGCCACCCTATCCACCAGCTGAATGAACCGACTGTTGTTATGGTATGGTTACATAACGTTAAAGTAGCTACGATTATCTCCCTTTTCGGACTAGTTAAATATTCAACGTTAGTGTTGTTTGGCATGTTAGCTTTAGTCCATGGAATGTCTTGAGAAGATATAATAAATATTACATTCTTATATTTTGAATTGAAATATTGCACGGCCTTAGTTAAATATTCTGGTGTCGCTATATTATATCCAAATTTATGATTAACCATGTCTCCTCTGCGTACATGAACACCAACTAAAGTAACGTCCCTTGTTGATCCTATATTGAATCCTTTCACTGTTTGAACTATTTTACTTTTTGCTTCCTTAAGTAAATGGTCCCTAAATGTCAACTGTTTCTTTAATTGACTTCTAAAATCATAAAAATACTTCCAAGACTGAAGATATTGTCCGAGTCTTATATTTTGAGAATTGTTAAAGTTCAGCAGATTTTTATCATATGCGCAGTTCTGTCTTTCTCCTCGGGAAATAAATTTCTTGCAAATGTCTGTATTATTCCTGATATCAATGTCTTCGAGTTTGAAAACACGATTTAACTCCGAGTTGTTCGCAACAATTACCCGCATACCTTTAGACATTGCAGCACCAAAGTGTGCAGCCAATTGGAACATCATGTTTCCAAAGCCACCCATGAAGTTCGGACATAAAAAATGTGTATAATTTGTAGAATTGTTTCTAACTGCAATGATAGCAGGAGTCATAGTTGAAATTTTCATTCCTTTCGTAGTATAGGTAAATTTGGTTTGTTTCAGGAATGTTTTTGTTGTTGGTTCATTTCTTCCTTTAGTAGTAAAAGTAAATTTGGTTTGTTTCAGGAATGATTTTGTTGTTGATTCATTTCTAACTTTTTTAGATAAAGCTGGAATGGTTTTTCCTATGAAAATCATTGTCTGGTTATTTGTCGAGTTACTTTCATTTTTAAACGTGTGAATCTGATTATTGAAGACTTCGAAAAATTGGAATGTGTTTCCATCCTTTTGGAAAACGAAAAATATCAACACAAAGGCACAGGATAAACACGGGATTACAATACCTGAAACACAATGAATACAATTAACGTCACATGAATTAAACATAATAAATAAACAACTTTACCATATCACAATATGTGTATTTTACAATATCAATAACTGCAGAAAGGAACCTAGTAACTGAAGGGTAGTTATATTATTCTAGATAATGTATATGTTTGAAGAAATACCGCAGTACCAAAAACAACCCTTAGCAACCTATATCTATCAGTCGAATGAATCTGTACTTACATGTATATGAAGCAAAATTTATAAATAAAATTAAAAAACAAGAGGAAAAACATTAAGAAATTATAATACAATGGTATTTGTGTTCTTTAATTTATTCAGTAGTCTCCTTCTCAAAGTAATCTTACATCTTATATAATCCAGTTAACTTTATGATTATATCTAGTGATATCAGAGACAAGCATGTCAGCTTCATAAAAACTTTATGTGAATAGTTCATATTGTTCACCGATAACTGAATTGTATTAATTCAAGATAATTTGGAACTTTTTTTATCCGTTTTCCAATGCATTGGAAAATAATTGAAAAATTCTTTCCCTTGTTGGACCTCAATCTAGGTGTCTTATGTCAACGCATATATCCAATTTACTGTCGGTAATTTATCATGTATATCTAGACAAAATCTTTTTCAGTAAATTTCATTTTCTACTTCCCATACATATACTATCTTGTTCCCAAGTTATTCATTCGTATGAGGGTTGGGAGGATAGGGGCTGAAAATAAAAATTACATTATATAATATCTAAAATGTGGTTTAGCACTGCACATTAAGTGTGACTCTTATTGCAAATATGACAAGTTTTTGTCGAAAGGCAACAGCCACCTTAACTTTTATCTTGCATAAAAAGGTTATAATATACATGTTTTTTTCTTTATAGGATTTAACTTTTGTCAGTCCTTTTTTTAAAGCAATTATATTATTTACATCTGTGTCCCTTGGTCTCTGATGGATAGTGTTCTCATTGACAGTCATATCACATCACAACCCTTGGCCTGTGGTGGATAGTGTTCTCATTGACAATCATATCACATCACAACCCTTGGTCACTGGTGGATAGTGTTCTCATTGACAGTCATATCACATCACATCCATTGGTCTCTGATGGATAGTGTTCTCATTGACAGTCATATCACACCACAACCCTTGGTCATTGGTGGAAAGTGTTCTCATTGACAGTCATATCACATCACATCCCTTGGTCTTTGGTGGATAGTGTTCTCATTGACAGTCATATCACATCACAATCATCCTTATTTTTATATGAACTGGTATAAGACATTTGCGGAAACTGTCATACACCTACGATTAGGATTACAATTACACTTACAGGTAGCATTTAAATCTTGGGTCGTTTCAAAGTGTAAATATAAACCGTCGGTTCATAACAAAGACTAACTCCTATATGTTTTCCTATAGTTAAACAACGGGATTTCAAAGAAATATCGATAAAAAATGGCATCTTGGCAGCTTGAGGTGGAATCTGGACAACTCGGACCCAAAGGCAAATCGGACTAAGACAACTCGGGCCAATTTAAAGACAACTCGGACCACTTTTATAGACAGCTCGGACCAGTTTGAAAGACAACTCGGACCAGTTTGAAACACTTGTCAGACCAGCGGCTCTTCGTGGTTTTTACGTTTAATATGATTTTTGTTTGTGTTTGTCTATATTTTTTCTTCTCAGTTTATCCCAACTGACCATCTTAGCTTGCTGTGACAACTTGTCAGTTTGATGCATTTCAATAATTTCTGTTACTATAAATTGTTTTATGACGGCCTAACGAGATCAATTAGAAAAATAAAACAACAAATATCTTTCAATGCAATAAAAATATAAGCATATATATATTCGTCTTTACATATACGGGCACGTGTTGTAATAAGTGATCCTAGAAATCTTTCAAGATGGTGCCTTTTACCGTCAGGCACCAAGTGTTAATTTTCGACTATCGTTAGCGACAACTTGGTTCAATTTATATTGTCGTTTGTCAAATTATCCTTATTTATTAGAAGACTCAATTATTTAAACTTTACCGTTATAATTGGAAAACATATACCATGATTCGTCAAAATCAGTTGATTTTTTTTATCGTCATGGAGAAATGAACTCTATGTTTCTTTGTGGACTTTTGTTCGTATTCTCGTCGTTTTTCTTTTAACCATGGTGGATTTTTTTTTTTCGACTTATGGGTTCTAAATGCCCCTTTGCATCGTTTCCTCGTTTAAAAAAACGAAAAGTAACTTAAGCTGCATTAAACATATACATGCATTAAATTTAAATTAAATCAAGAATTTCAAAGTATAGACCCTCAAGAACTTCGTTTAAATATTCTTAAAGCACTCAGGTTGTCTTTTAACGTACACGGATGTCTGTGAACCCTATTTTAGATTTAATGCAAGTCATACCTTTTTTTAAACGAGGATTTTTTTTAGTAGTTATATGTTATCAAATAAAACTATATTACATCATTCTTGACTAAAATTCTCTTTGCTTGTAAAGATATTTGAATGCACACGAATATTAATTGGATCCGAATCTTAATCAAACACATGACACATCATTTATAACGAGGAATGAATTATAAGCTGCTATTTAAAAAAAATCGCCAACGCGATTTTTACTACATGTTTCATTAACGTCAAAAATAGTAGAAAAATACCGTTTACATTATTTGGCAAAATTCAAACGTTATTGTTAAAATAAAATCACACACTATTCAAGGCGGTTAGGGAGCATTTGCGGATACAAAAGTGTAATCGTATAAAAGTTGTACGACTTCCAATTACTATATACCGCCCGCTTTTGTAAAGCGAGTGGAACTATTAATACGTAAAAATGAATAAATGATAATTGTATTTCGTGCATTTATTTTATTTTCCCCCGTTATGGACGAATAACACAGATTAACCATGACAGCACTACCTGCCCTGATGCAGACTCCACCAGATGTAAGGTACACATTTCATTCGCCATCTGATTCTAACACTGGTAGTCCTAGCTTGACCACCGACAAACCAATCTTTTACAATCAGGGAAATATTTTAGGCAATGATGTATACTTTTGAATGGAGAAATGTGTTCACTTGTTTTGCAAGCAAACGATATTCCTTTTACATGTGAAACGTTACTTTAAATTGTAGCCGATGTTAATGGTCTCTTCAGACAGAGAACCGATCGGGATCATAAGCTTTGAATTCCCCGGGAAACAGAATTCTTCTTTTATGTTATGGTTACAATCGTACCCGTCTTATCATATGATTTCTGAAATAGTTGACATTAGTGTTTCGACTACCAAAGATGAAACACATACATGTATACCTATTTCAAACATATAACCGTCTTATCTATTGGCCTTCTTTCACTGGATGATTGGCAGAACTTACAAGGTGGGTGGCCAAAACTTCCGTTTGCAGTAGGGCTATCGACGGAAAGTTTGTGGCCGATAACGAGTCTTAGGATAGTATTTGCCAGGACACAGACATTGTCACTGCATTCACACTCGTTGTAATATTGAACGAAGACAGGAAATTTTATGTTGAGTGCGGATTTCTTTGGCATCAGCAATATATGTTGATAAGAAATATAGGACAAGAATTACCTTTCCCGACTGAGCTTTTTTTGCTAGGCGACAAAATATATCCGAACAGATATCCAGTATTGACACATTACATGAGACAAACCCCAGAATATGCAGAGGAAGTGTAGAAAATTAAATAGACATATTACACACTATAGAGTAGAGGTTGAACACGCATTCGGAGAATTAAAAAAACACACAAAGTTATGGGGACTTTGTGGCGATTCACATCTGTTGTGACCATAAGTTTCTGCATTTGTGACTCGTCGAAAAGACTTATTTACAAATATCATTTCATTTTACTATATATATATCTCAATTGGTTTATTTTCTTATTTTGAGAGGACCCCTTGTTTTTCATTAACTGTAATCGTAAGTCTAAGTGTAACCCTAGGTAAAGACCTAGTTTCCGCAAATGTCTATTACCCGATATGTTCAAAATACAACATATCTTTTGTAAACACTCAAGAGTTCCGACATAAATTTCGGATAGTTACCTTGAAAATTAAAACTAATAGAAAATCGCCCTATTCATGGTGATATAACTCAAGAAATATTGGTCTTTTCTATAAGTAACAACTGATCTGACAACGAATTATTGCGAACCCCCTTACGCCATTGTACCACGTTCAAATTAAACAAAATAATCCGCATAACATGGCAGACTTTTAATCGAGGAAACAAAGGATCGATGATAGTGTGCATATCTAACGTCTAGTTGCAAATACTTCATGCATATTGTAGACGAAAACGATTGAATGCAATGATATACACTAAATATGTACTGATAACGGGGAAAAAGATATGTTGGGTATGGTCACATGGTCTTAGAAATAGATATGTGCAAGACATTACTAGTATTACTATCTAAAACTATGTAGAAGAAAACGTACCTAAAAGTAAACAGAAAAAAATAGGTCATGAGGCCATTATAAGATAAACCCCTTCATATTGGGGCATGATTGCTCACTAAAGGTTCCTTAATCAACGTGTTCCCTGTTAAAGATCAATCGTTCTAATGTCCCATGGTTCCAGTTCAAACGTTTGGAATTTTTTTATTCTTGATATAACTGTAATTTTTTTTTAAATATGGTCATCTTTTTGTTGTTGCATAGATCATAGAATGACATTGTAATATTCAAAAACAATAAGTATATGCTTTTCTATAACTAAAATTGAGAATGGAAATAGGGAATATGTCAAAGAGACAACAACCCGACCAAAGAGTAGACAACAGCAGAAGGCCACCAATGGGTCTTCAATGCAGCGAGAAAATCCCGCACCCGGAGGTGGTCCTCAGCTGTTTCTAAGGTCTCATGATTCCAGTTCAAACGTTCGCCAAACGTTTACCTCGCTTACTATTAGTCGATAGAAATAAATCCTCTCAATGATCAAAATTAATGTTAATTTCGAG